TGTAGACTGATGGCGGCCACGGCTCATTAAGAAGGAATGTGTTTGTGCTTAATTGATGCACTAATTCTCAGCCACTCAGGAAATGGCCCTTGGGTGGGTCTTCCAAATGGCACACAAATATTTACTATGGACACAAACATTTTTGTAAGCACATCCATGAAAGTCGGGGCATGCGAAGCGAGAGGAGAGAGATTGCACAGGTCCGTGATACAGTGCAGTGATATCATCTCTCAGCCCTCCGACACTCAGCTGGGCTCTCAAACACTTAGATGACTCATCCGCATGCATGAATTCCTCTCTGCTCCCATTCTCCCGACCCCGAGTACTCCTTGTACTGACGAGTTCAGATGAAGTTAAATCCTGCCCCCGCGCTTCTCATCAAGGCCAGATGCAGGCCCAGAACATCAGCAGCGCGGCCCCATTTTGTCCCAGCCTAAAACCGGAGCGTTCGGCCTACATGATGGTCCATTTGCCTCCACAGAATCAGATGCTTTTTCACAATAGATTGCCCGTGATGCTTAATCTTTCAGCTCTGATGTATCATCTTTCCCTTTGTGGTGCTGAACATCTATGGGCTTCAGAGTGCACCCCGTCAATGACTTGTTTGGTCTGTACACCCTAAAAAAAAAGGGTCCCAGCGTCCTGGTTCTCCTGGTGTGGGTATGCGTGCCCCTTCGTATCCCACTTCAGTGTTATTCCGTCCCCACTGACTTATCTGCAGAAACATTTATCGGCTCCGGCTCTCCCGCTGTTCAGCAGCGTGTTGCTCGCTTGTTGAACCTCTCTCAAGGTGAACGAGAGCTTTTAATTCCACTTTCCACTCGTGCTCGTGCTCACTTGTGGAGGGCTTGAAACAAGCGCATTTGGTCAGGAAGCTTATGTTTTGTCTTATTTAATCATGTCAGGCCATATTGAATTTACAAATAGCGGTCACGCTGCATGTGTAAGTGAGCTACCCCGTTGAGTAGGTGCAGCAGGACTAGGCTGCAGATTACATGATATAATAGTGTTTAGGCATCGCCTCTCCTTTTAAATTCCTTTAACCTTGACTTCCCTTAAACGCAGGAAGAACACATCTGCCAGGCTGGTGTCAGACATTAGTAATACACACCGCTCAGGCAGCATTGTCACTTTTTATTAACGCCCAGAGCTTTGCATGGACACCAGCTGTTGCATCAAGTGAAAGAGCCTTGGCGGAATGAATGACCTTGACTTTAACTGCCGCTCCTTTGGCTCTTCCCCCTTTTTTAATTCTTTTGTTTGCTCTCATACATTTTAAATGGATTACAATTCCTGATGATGAAGGTCGTTTACACTCTGACTGTTTATAAGATGGAAGGTGTTTGTATCTCTGCCTGGTTGGTAGTATCTTATTGGTAATGGAGGGGACGTAATTCGTAGGCCAAAGTACTCTGACTGACATTTTCTGTGGGAATGCATCTGGATTTACTAATGTTTGGTTTTACTGGTCATGTGTAGTGATTGGCAGGTGCGTTTGACTCTAGAGTGGCAGTCACTGTGACAGTCATGCTGGCAGGTAATGGCCCCCAAAAGGTTTAGGCCAACTAACTTAGCACAACATGTCAAGCTGAGCCAGTGACAAAGCTGACAAAGGCAAAGCAGCTAAAATTCAAACTAGGGAGAGCACACAGCCCTCCCTCACTTCCTGGCACTGAACAGCCAGGTTTGGGAAGATGTGAGCGAGGGATTATTACACATGTGACCCACCGTTAGTTTGAATACTTTTCTTCAGCTAGCTGGAGCTCTTTTTTTCTAAACTTCTGGTTCTTGTTTCTCTACGATTAGACTTTTATATTTGTAACAAAAACAATCATTACAAAAATTATCCGCACGCTGCCGGTTAGAGCTCTTATGAAGAATCCAAAATCAGAAGCTGCCGAGAAAATTGTCACCCTCATTTCATGTTACCAGGGTATATTTACATCCCAGTGGTACTCATTCGTGTTGAAGGCAGTGGCTTAAAGAGGGCAGTGACCGCTTCCTGTTGCTGGTGCCTGTTTAAGTAGCAGAGGAGTGAGAAAGCGAAACGGATGAGGAATCAACCAGTCGGGGGGGGGGAGGATGTATCTCCGGCCCTCCCCTGTCACTTGCCCTCCCTCCCGCGCGTGGCTGACTGTAGGGGTAAAAATCACTTTAGAATGGTGCCTGCGCTGTCATTGGCTGACATTGTCAAGGATAATGGATAATCACCACAGAAACTGTGGAGCAGCTCATTGGTGCTTCGGTGTCCCGCGGTGGGGGAGGGGCGGAGGTCAGTCTTTTTGGGTGCCACCACCACCAATGAGATGACATGTTAACAGATGTGTAAGGTCATTTTCAATGTATACACCAGGGGAGATAATGTAATAGTAATGCACACATTGTCAGGGAGGATAGGAGGAGGGCTGCATGCTTTAGGAGCCCCATGTAGAGGACAGCGCTTTATATTAAGCTTGTGTATTTGTTAACAGAGCTTTGTCACTGAGGTGAACAGACTCTCTTGGCCTTGCTCTAGCAGGTCATTTGACAGACTCAGTGTCCTCACTTTGCTCGAGGAGTATTTTATATTAAATGGCGAGTGCACCGGCGGTGTTGTGTGTGTGTGTGTGTGTGCGTGTATATATAAACTGATATAGTGCAGTGTCATTGTATCCTTTTGCTGCCTTGCCCGCTCTTTATAGAAGTGTCTTTGGGCAAAAACATAGACAAGGTCAACTGTAATTCCAAAGGTTCCCTGCCAGCAGCGGAGAGATTAACAGAATTCCCCATGTTGAAACTGTGTCAGCATTTCCTTTCCATTTCCATCGCTCCCCTCGCTGACTAGAGGGCTCTATCACAGCATATTAGTCACTTTGCCAAGCCATTCTGAAGGTAAACATGTTTACTTGTTTACTGCGCTGATCAAATGTGGTGTTACAGGCCATTCCGTTATGACGGCGTTAAGATCGCTGGCGGGAAAATAGTCCTAATCCTGTGCATTTAAGATTAGCATGACAGCAGACGTCAGATGGCCCAGTGTGACCAGGTTGGCTTTTGTTGTTATCAGATTAAGGTCAGCAGTTTAAAGATGGCCTTAAACTGTAATCGATGCTGATGGGCCAATCTCAGTTGACTCATTTGGTTCTATTCTGAGCAAGACAGCCTGAAGAATCTCATCAACAGTTGAACCTTTGGTGTGGGGAGGTCTCAAAATGGCCAATCTCATTGTTTTCCTTTTGCCACTCAGACTTAATTGTACAGTACTCAATTTAAAGTGTTTAATCCCCGTTGACCTCCAAGGTGGCATTAAAAGTGCCACCTCATTGCCCTAGCTGTCATGACCTGATGCTGTCAAAGCCTGTGAACCTTGACCTCAGAGATGAATTTGAACCTAATTATAGAAGGCCTCATTGTTTCTGGCCCTTGCCTCAGCTCTCTGTGAGGTATTTAAGCTGGTGGCTGAGCGGGTTGCCATGGCCTTTCGTCATAATCAAAGGCTGCTGTCCTGTCATGTGACCTGCTATGTTAGTCCACTCAGCGGACGCGAAAGGTGAGGACGGCTTCGGGAAAGGACACGGACGGTGGCTGAGGCGAGGTGGAAACTCTGTATTAATTAACCTTTATGAGATGCGGGTGGGACTGTCGGAGGTGTCCTGTATCCAGGGAAACCATGCTGACAGGGTCCAGAGCAGAGGTCTCACAGGGCAGCACTGCTGACACTGTCATGGCAACTGGCACAATGCTCACCCTGGTGTCACCGTTCCTGCCCTCCTGACAATGGTGCGGTGTGACAGGTGCACCTGATCCTTAAGCCACCCATAATATGCACACCGAAAACACACCAACGCTTGACAGTTGGGTCCGGCTCGTCTGTTGGTCGCATCCTGACGCGGATTCTCCCCAGCTTTTTGAGCTGTTCTTGTGAGCTACACTCCCGTCACATCAAGTCAGTGCAGAGTCCTGCTCATGTCTTCTGGTTTGAAAACCGCTCCAGGTCCAAAGAGCTAAGCTTGCCGGGACAGAGCAGTAGTGAGACTCTGCATTTATCTGTGTCCTTCTGCTTTCCATGTGTCTAAGCATGAATTCTTTAATACTCGTGTGGGTGAGTGGGTGGGTGGCAGTTGCTCTACAGTGGGCTGTGTCGTGCAAGATGCAGCTCAAGTGCATAAGGAGCAGGAGGTGGTGGAGGGGGATAATCCACTGAAATGACAAGCTGCAGAAAGAATTATGCACAGCTCTCCCAAGGCCCTTCACTTTTGAAAGACATTGCCGTGAGAGGCTTACTGCTCAAGACCTGAATGTTTTCAAGGTAGTGGGCTTGAATTTTCAATTTGGATCCAATCAAGCCTAATCTACATTTGTCGTCTGTCGGGTGGCTGTGAGGGAAGAGTGCAGAGCAGAGAAGGAGCCGTGTGCAGTCAATCTGAAATGTTGCTAAGTAACAGAGATGGCAGACAAGGTGGTGAAATGAATGTGATATAGTGCTGTGAAAATCCCTAATTCTCACACCGTTTCTCCTTTCTCTCTCCTTTTTCTCTCTGCCCAAATATCTTTCCCTCCCTCCTTCTTTCTCTCAATAACTCCCATAGGTCCCCCCCTGTGAGATCTGGGAGAGCTGAAAGGCGCCGCTGACAGGAACAAAGCCAGGCCGTAGGACCGAAATCCCAAACATCCACAACCACCGAATGCATCAACATCTCGGCGGTGAAATCCTGCTGACTCCTTGCACTCTTCTCACATAAGCCTGAAGCTGGACCTTCTGAGAACCTGCGGCGATTAAAGGCGTACAACAATGCCTGGGAGGCCCACCTGCCCTAGATTGCCTCCAAGCATGGTTGCCATTTTGCAGCATAGCTGATCCTACCCACCACATCCAGCTAGTGCGCCCTGTACCCTCTTCTGGTGCAACGGCCCTCTTTTTGGTATTTTAAAAGTGCATGCCACTGTCAAACAGATGACCTAGATGACAATTACCCCCCATAAGCATTGCTGAGCTACACGAGGGGATCTGAGTATTGAACATGACTCATGGGGAGGAGCCTGGCCCTGAGACACACAAGGATTCAGCTGTTCTAACTTATCTGGAAGGTTTACTGATGCATCCAGTGGTGGCCGGGCCTGGGGCCACGGCAGGTGGGAGGTCCGAGGCAGCCCACAGCAATCAGGAGCAGGGCGACAAGGTTGCCGGGTCCTTCCAACTACCCAACCATGGCCCAACAGCACCTAAGACTGGAAACAATCGGCCCACGCTGGGTTCATCGCAACACCTGAAGAAAGCCCGCTTGCTGTGTTCAGGAGCTTGGAATGACCAGGGGAGCCAGCGGATGAACTCGCCCCCAATGGAGCTGAATGGCCAAGTGGGAGGACTACAGAATGGAGCCCTTGAAGGGTCTCCTAATGCTGGAGAAAGCACCCTGTTGGCTTCCCTGCTCCAGTCTTTCAGCTCACGGCTTCAGAGCGTGGCAATGTCTCAGCACTCTAATAAGCCCCCCAGTGAGTGTTCCTCGCCATCCAAAGCACCGCCCGCAGACAAAGAGCCACTGCCCGTGTATGGGACGGCCTCAAGCCGCTTGAAGGGCCTTATGAGGAAGAGCAAACTTCAAAACCATAACAGCACCCCTTACAGCCGGCGGGGCCACAATCAGGATCGGCCCCCAGAGTCACCCCGGTCAGCACACAGCGCCACGCCTCCTGCCGCCCCCACGGCTGCTGAGTCGGTGTCCTGTGCCGAGCGTTTGAAGGCGGTGGCCAACATGGTGAAAATCCGTTCGAGTCCAGCACCTTCACCCAAGCCTAGTGTGGCCTGCAGTCAGCTGGCCCTGTTGCTGTCCAGCGAGGCCCATCTTCAGCAGTACTCCAGAGAGCACGCGCTCAAAGCCCAGCTCTCCGGAAGGTCCGCCAGCGAGAGGCTAGCCGCCATGGCAAACCAGCAGCACGGCCAGGATAAAAAGCCACCTAGTGTGGGGGGCACTCCAGACACGGTAAGCTCCTTACCAAACCAAAATGGAATGACAACAACAACCACAGGAACTCCAGCACTCCCTCGAACAACCCTGTCCAGCCCCCAGAGCCCCTCTTTGCTGCGTGGCCACAGCCAAAGCTCCCCCCCCACCCCCCCACACGCTCCAAGCCAGCCTCCCCGGGAGAAGCGCGGCTTTGACACTCGTCCAGCCCGCCCCCCTCAAACATGCAGCAGCCTACTGCTGCTGCTGCTGAACAACCACAACAACCAGAAGCAGCTGACCAAGAATGGGCACCTGGAGGATGTGGGCGGCTCATCCTCAGTCACGTCAGACAGCGAATGCTCCACCCAGGAGAGGAGCATCACCAAGGACAGCAGTGACGCTGAGAGCTCCTACTCCAGTTGTTCCCCCATTGACCTCTCCATGAGAGGCCGCGTCAGTATAGACAATGGGCCCAAAAACACACCTCCTTCTTTGTCCTCCTCTTCTACATCTACCTTTTCTTCCTCTTCTTCCACAGTGTTTTCTTCTATCCCAGCTACATTCTCTCCTCAAGCTCCTACTCAGCCCTGCACCACATCCTTTACTCCCTCTTCTATTGCAGTCTCCTCTGTTTCCTCTGCTATCTCTTCATCCTCTTCTTCATCTACTTCTACCTCCTCCCTGGATAAACTGACAGAATCACTATTAAACAAGTGGAAGCCAGAGCCATCAGGATCAAATGTGTCCAAGATCAAGGAGCCTGAAATAAGCCCAGACCTAAAGTCCCACCCGAAGGTCACACTCATGCAGCTCCTTCTCGAGCGCAGAAATAATGAGATGGTTAATAAAGGCGTAAATAAACAGGATGCACCACTTGATATAACTATGGCCACCATGTCTCGAAGCCAGCAAAAGGGACAAATACCTTGGGAAGAGACTAAAACTGAAAGCCCCCTGGAGAGGCCTGCAGCCCCAGCCCAATCCATCTACACACACACTCACCCAAGTGGTGCACTGTCTCCATATTCCTACCCTTCCCCCCACATCCAGTCTAGCCCACTTGATCTGTGTAAGTCTAAAACCTTCCCTGCTGAGAAGGCTTCCGAGCCTGCCTTCAGCGCCAGTAAACTGTTACAGAATCTGGCACAGTGTGGCACGACTTCTTCCTCCCCACCCATCCCCTCTGGCAAAGGGCTGGGCCAGGAGCTGGATGCCAGCAGGCCTCTTGCACTCTTGGAAAGACTCAATGCCCCGACCCACAGGACCACCACTACACCCCTCTCGGACGGAGCTTCAGGCAGCGGTACGCCGTTCAGTCGCAAGGAGTCTTCTCCTCCTTCGCAAATCGAGAACCTGCTGGAGAGGCGCACCGTGCTGCAGCTCCTTCTAGGGACGGGTTCAGCTTCTGCTACAACCAGCCGCAAAGATAGGCCCAGTGGGAGTGGCAGGAGGAGTGTGGAGGGTGTGGCCGCGGGATGCTATGAGAAGAGCCCCACCACTTCCATCATCTGTGACAGCTCCAATGGGCCCCATTTGGATATAAAAGTCAAATCGGAGCACACCGAGGAGGTTGGACCATCTTCTGGCAAGTCTGATGACTTGAGTGGAAAAAAGAGACTTGGTGGCTATGAGAAAAATAGCCCCTTCTCGGATTCCCAGCAGGATTTCAAAACAGAGCCCCGTCCTGCAGAGGTCATATCAAAATATGGCCTCCTCAGCCAGCTGCTCAAACAACAGACTGCTACCTATTACACCAGCGCTGCTACGCAGGCTGAGCCACAGTCCAGGCAGGTTAAAGAGGAGCAGAGGGAGTATCCCAGCCCCAGTCCAAAGAGAAGACGTGTCTGCTCCGAACAGACTGATGGTTTGAGTAATATCAGCTCTCCAAGAGCTGTGGACAGTGGTAACACACACATTTTCGCCTACTCTGCTACTCAGGCTCCACCTGAGCAGCAGAGGAGTCTGAAGGAAGAGGAGGGTCAACCCAGGACCCCGCCAAACGACACCCTCAGCAGAGAGAGCCGAGGCTTCAACGTGCTCAAACAGCTGCTGCTCTCTGACAACTGTCTGAAGGAGCTGTCCCAGCAGCCACGCGGGGCGCCCAGTCCTTCTGTCCTGCAGGCCAATGGCAAAGCTAACGGGAACATTCTCAGCCCGCCTGCCCATAACCACAACTTCCTCCACCTACCCAGCTGGCACCCCCATGGTTCCCTCAACTCAGGGCTTCCAAGTAACTTAAGACCACTGCCCACCCCTCCTGCAGGTGACAGCCCCATCCGCACCACGTGGAGCCGCCATCCATCTCCATGGCCTGTCACGCAAAAACGGGACCCCCACGCTGTAGTCAAACAGGAACCCGAGAGCCCCGTTCGGTGGAGCAGTCAGGAGAAAGACGAGGAGGAGCAGGAGGAGCAGGGTTGTGACTCGAACCCAGACTCTCCGCGGCTCTCGCGTTCCAACCCCATCCTGTATTACATGTTGCAGAAGGGCAGCCTTCAGCTGAGGAAGGAGGTGAGGGACCCTGCTGAGGGAACCCAGTCTGCGGTCAGAGTAAAAGAAGAGCCAATCAGTGACATGCATGCCTATGAACGCAGTCTGAGCTCCACGCCTCAGTCCCCTGCCCACAATGACAAGCACAGCCATGAGAGCCAGAGGTTGAGTCAGTCCTCTGACTAGAAGTTGCATCAACAGAATCAAAGTCATCAACTTTTTTTTTAAAGACTTGCCAAATTGGTTTGATTAGAAAATAGTTTTTTCTTTTTTTCTTTTTTTTTCTAACTGAAAAGCATTTGTATTGCTGTTTCCGTTTGAAATGGTGAGGTCATGGAAAGGTCCAAATGTGGGCTCATCTCAGAAAATACCTAACTGAAACTACTAAACATCACAGATTTAGTCCTCCCCATCCATGTACATATCATGCACTGCATCATTTTCTTTCAAGAGTCCTCCTTTACAATTTCTTCTTGACTATTTTTATTTTTATTTACATCTGAATTATACACATATCAATTCCCCATGTCTTCTTTGTTGCCTCTCATGAAAAATTAAGAGAGAACATTTCAAGCAGCATTTATTATTGATGATTCAAAAAGTGTTAGTGCTCAGTTCAGTGGGCATTTATTTATTTCCCCCATCAGGAAATTTTCAGATAGACAGGGAAGCATCAATTTTACATAAGATTCCGAATAAAGTCGTTCTCCAGCGATCGCAGCGCTCTATTGCAACAATGTACATGATAGATTAATTCAAAGGAGGACCTTGAAAACAAGATGTTCGCTTCTATATTTTCACAAAGAATCTTGCCATGATGAATGCTTTGTGTTACTGTGTAATTACCGGCGCAGAGAGAATATAGCATTGAAGGTTTAAATGGCAACAACTCGCCATGTACTGCTTTTATTCGAGCTGAACCTTTAAGGCCAACATTCGACAGTGCAAATTCAGGGTAATATGTTTGCAGATTGTGCAGTTCTGAGCAGATGGGTCAACAGAGCGTGTGTGGTGATTACAGTTGAGCAACTGTGTGTAAACAGGTTTCTGGAGCAACAGTTAAAAGGCTGCATTGTCTGAGCAACTTATCTTGCCATCCTGGTAAAAAAAAACAAAAAAAAAACCCACACCACTTTTCTTTGCACACACAGAAACCTGTCGTGTGAAGCACACAGAGCTTTTCTTTCCATGTCCTATAAAAAGACTACCTAGAGTTTGCACTATCGAAACGGAGTCCTTGGCGTCTTTTTTTCAGAATACTTTAATGGCATGTAATGGAAAAAATGTCAGTATTGTTATCTGTTGAGAATTTGACAGTTTGTGATTTTTTTTTCCATTTTTTTCTGAACTGTTGTGGTTTCTAGACATATATTTAATTTTTGTGGCAATCTCTTCTTCATAAAATGTCAAAAAGAAATGCATGAATATAAAGAGACGGCCACAGGTACTCCTTTGTTTTCTGAGCAGCTGGATATGTGTACCTGCCCCCCAAATAATCACCGAGACATTTTTTTGTGTCTTGAGGGATATCTGGTAGCTCTTTGTTTTGGATCGTACTGTATTCTGTTCAGTTTATTTCACACTGCTTTGTCCATTCAGTCTTGTGATCTTTTTAATACATATACCGATGACATGTCTCTTCAATTATTAAAACATTTTCACAATGGTTGAATATATTTGTGTAAATAGTACTTTCAGTATGAAAGATAACTATTTTGTAATGTTTAAAAAAAAGATATTACCCTAGTTTTTAATGCCCTGATATGTAAATATGAATTATATCCGTACAAGTGTACATACAAAGGCAGAGGATGCTATGCCCATCTTTTTTTTTTTTTTTTTTTTTTTTTTTTTTTTTGGCTGGTTTGTTCTTTGCATGTGTCTCTATGTGGTAAATGATAATCTAATTCTGCGCTGTGTTGTGTAATAATGTCTGACTCTCCTCACTGCTGCCTGTTGCATGCAGACGCATGGGAACTACCTGTGTATCCCTACTGGTGATGGGGGAAAATGTCAAGTCTTAAAATAGGTCTTTTTTATCACAGAGAGAGAGGTTGGCTTAGAATATGAGCAGTCCCTAAATAACCACAGACTGTTGGGCAAGTTGATTTTAAAAATGTGTGAAAAATAAACGTGCATTGAATATTTTTGTGACTTTTTTTATTTTCTTCTCTTTTCTGTTACTGGTTAACAAAGCTCTGTGAACGAGCATGGGGCTCTAGTGGGGGATTGACGTACAATCATAGATCTGCATTGTGCATCTAAGAAATACATTTGTAGCAACAGATATATATATATGTATATATATATATGTGTATATAAATATACATACATATATACATATACATATGTGTGTATATATATATATAATTTTCTTTTTTTCATGTGAAAATCTGAAGCATTATTTCATTTTTTATGTTTTCATTTTTTGGTGTTCATTTGCACTGATATCTCAAAAATAAAGTACTAAAATGCATGATCTAGTACGAATCTGTTCCTCTTTTTGCACTGTGGAGTGATTCTCTTGAAAGGAATTTGGAAAAACATTAGTTTTTTTTTTCTTTTCTTTTAATGCTGCCTGGGGCATTACATGAGACTAAATGTTTCCAAATTCACAAAGAGACGGGACTTTTAAAGAACATTTTTAAACAAGCCAAAGCAACCTTTCAGGGAATTTTGACGTTCCACTGTGGGCCAAGTCAGACTCTGGCTTCACATTCAAGAGTGTTATTATTCTAAGAGACATCAAAGCCAAGCAGCACTTTCTGTAATCAAAGACTGGTCTGTTAAAGTAGAGTGAGAGGATGTCCTGTATTTGCCCCAAAACTTCTGCTCCTCAGTTGGCTGCTGTTCACCACAGTGCTGACTCTTAACAAAGGCAGGAAAGACACTGAAAGGAGGGAGCACGTATGAAGGTCACCAGATGTACACTGAATGCCCAAGGATTTGCCTCATACAAATGGAACATATCTTTTATTTGATATCCATAATAGATTCCATTGTAGAGCAATAACAGAAAGTCAGTTCCAGTTTTAAAAACTTATCACATACTCGTCATTTTCTTGACGTGGAGGGGGGGGGGGGGGGGTGAGCGTGACACTTCAAAAGGTGAAGATGAGTTCAAGCTTAATTTCCCTTGCTTTGGATTTTTCTAGATTAAGTCCAGTTAGCAAACAGACTGCTTTTTGTCTGTGGTGCACTTTTGAAATTACAGCAAAGTTCCTCAGCCTTGACTTCCCTTTTATTCAATCCTTCCCATGACTGACTGCACTCTCTTTAAACTCCCAGTAACCTTTCCCCTCCACGCACTTCTCCATTTCAAGATTCTTATCAAGGCTGAACCACCAGTAACCTCTTGATTTCCTCTGACTGCTGAAGCAGCGGTGAAAATAAAGGACGGAGACGCAAGTTTACTCAGAGGTCAAGGTGTGAAACTTGACAATCGCTTGTTTGTCTGAGGCTTCTCTCTTTGATTTCCTGACCTCAGTGGGAGGCCAAAAGGATGTGAGCACTGCACACATGGCCACCGTTGACTCAACTGTAGGCCAAGGACACAGAAGTCCCACAACAGACATTTCATAGTTGTGAGATCTCCAAAAATAATTTCCTGGCATTGCAGTTGCTTATTCTCTGACAAACAACCTAATGGAGGCACTTTACGTGCTCAGCCAAGGGTTTATCTACATGGGAATGCATGAACTATTTTAAACAACTAGTACTTTTAAGCATGGCATGTCGATTTTACTCTTGATGGGAGGGTTTCTTGGTAGGTGCTTTGTTTATTCACATGGAGGCCATACAGAGCTTCCACTTGTCACATGTTGTCATGGTAATTGGAGTGAAAAATAAACTCACAGATGTTTGATCGCCCTCTTCTCATACAAGTGTTTGAACTCCGGGCATACGATTTGACCTCAAATGGTATGCAAACACGCACACTCAAGACCACTTAATTTCATTAGCATTTTATGAGTCTTATGACCCCATTTGGGAGGCAGTTAAGTCAGTATACGCGAAATAAAATGCCACACCATCTCCGTCTTTCCTGAAGGCAGCACTGCAGCGCAGGCTGGCTGAGAGCTAAAGCGAGCAGAGCCTGAAGTCAGACAATAAAGAGGCTGAAGCAAACACCTGGGGAAGCTCCTGCACTCTGGAAGGAGGTCAGAATGGTTTGTTTTCCCAACCTTAAAGCCGTCCTCCCACTGGGGGATGTTCTTTTGAAGATGTACCTCTTTGTGAAGTCTTTTCCTTAACCCCGGGGGTCATGGCCTTTTACCCCGGCTCCTTTGCCCTGACCTGGCTGATCCTGTTTCCCGGGACAGGATCAACTGTTGGCCTGCAGCTGTGCCAATCCCCCCTCCTCCAGCCACGCAGCACACTCCTCCCTCCTCCCCCTTTCTCCCTGGCAGTACAGTCGAGGCATTATTCTAATGCTCAATGTTAATATGACAAGTGGCAGTGCGGCTTAAGTCTCCTCTTTTCCTTCATGCCTCGCAGCCTCTTGACCTGCACTGTTTCCCATGGCGTCCCAGATCACATTCGAGATGCAGTAATTATTTACAAATGTCTAATAGGCTCCACCTGCGGCGAGGCTGCAGAAGCAGTGGAAATGAGGTGAAAAGGCAACTTTCTATGAGGGTTCAGGTCAATGAGAGCTATTTCATAGAGCTGCCTTACTGATGTCCACATGTACAAACATGTAAACAGGCCTCATGTAAAATTCATGATGAGTGAGAGTCCCTGTGGCCCTCAGAGCAGGCTGTCAGCTAGAGGGATCTTGGCTGACATTGAAAGAACATGGATGATATTTGCCATGTCAGATAAGTACAAGGATAAATGTTTTACAAACTGGCGAGGGAGAACTGGCAATGTCAGTGTCCTGTCTGCCAAAGTCGTCCAGCGCCACTCGTCACATCTTGGAAAATGTTTCTCACAAGTTCCTCCTCACACATCTGGAGGGTTCTGTCTGTGAAGATGGCCACGTGCTTTCAGGTACCATTAAGTCTGCTCCTGACCTCACTCCTTCCAGAGTTTTCTCAGTTTGGGCCGTGAGACAGAAAAACCGTCTCTGACTCTTTCATGTGAAAAATACCACCGTCAGGAAATGTATTTACCGCTAATTTCCTGTAAACTGTGACGCAGTCGTTGATCTGCAGGGTCGTGAACTCCTCAAGTAAACATTTCTC